AGCGAACTTTAATTTATATATTCTTTTTGTATGAAATCGGTGATTTTTTTCAAGGAATTGCTCAGATAGTTAAGCGAGTCCGGCGACGGCGAGAGCGGCGGTGCGGGGACACCGTGCCACGGGAAGCATGCAAGGACGCTTCCCCGTACATTTTCTGAGTGGAATGACCTTTGTGACGTGAGGGACGACATGAAGACTGCTTACGTGTGCTGGCCTGCCGCGACCACGCTGTTGCAGGCAGCCACAATTGCTTCGCTTTATGGTAATATATGATTGTTTTTAACTTGAGAAAAGGGGATGCTGAAAGAAAAGGATTCGTCCTTTTTTCTTTTCCGAGAATCGTGATGAAACTTTAATCTAGCTCTCTCTTTACTCTTCCAGGTGCGGACCAGTGGCTCTGTCAAACATTCCATGCGTAATAGCCCGAAGTGTAAAGTGGTGATTGTTAGTGCCTTCTTTTCATTTTTTTCCATAAGGAGGATTTTTTAAATAAATATTTTGATGTAAATCAACGTCTACCTAGGTCCTCCCTGAATAAAAAAACCGGGCACCCTATACACTATTAACTATAAATGTTATAAATGGAAATACCACTTTAGAGTCAATACCTCACTGACATTAACGATACGTATTTAAAAACAATAATAACAATAATAACCATATTAAACGAAATCAAAGGGTAATCCACACTTAATACGGCGTCGCCATACCCTATCAAAGAGATGAGCCAGTTCAGACTCGATCTCGTTATCCGAAATTTCGTCCTCATCGACGTCACCGTCATCATCATCGTTTTTGCAATTCTTTCCTTCCTGCTGCTTCTGTTTTTGAGAAGAATCTTTCATCGGGGGCAGAAGAGTGATCTTCCTGCGCGGAGACACCACAGGAAGACGTTCGGTTTTGCCATCCTTGTTTTTCTGCATTTCCTGTAGTTCTTCTGACTTCCCGCTGTGGGGGAACAAGTGTTGTGAGACCACGAATACTGGTGATCGGGAGGATCATTATAGATGGACTATGTGCCTTTGGAATAATGCTTTGGTAGGTGTACTAAACGATTGTGTTGTGTTTTTACTTACTTTTCTTTCATCCCCATTTTCTGGTCAATGTACTTTGTTACTCTGTCAATTCTGAAAAAAGATTAAATCCTCTTTATTTAAGTAATTACCTAAGTTAAATGTGTCAACAGACAAGACCTTCTCATATGTATAGTGTCAAACAGATCCAACACTACGGAACACAACACTGATCACGGCGCACTCACTTGTCGCTCATCCTCTTCACGCGCGCCTGAAGGCTGTTCTCCTCAGCCGCATGGATCCTCGCCAGGAAAGCCTGTGTTGCCTCCTTCTCGATCAGCCTCAGTGTTACCATAGCGTCGCTCTCGTATTCAGTCGCTGGCATTGCATGGGATAATTATCGGTTATCTTCGAGTGTTCTACTTCATGTTTGATTATGCACACTTTTCTCTGTATTTAGTACCATGAAAAAATAAACTAGGCATAGGGAAACACTAAAATGACTCCTCACCAGACGGTAATATCGAATTTATGCCTCAGTTTTACACATACACATTTCATCCAAAAAGCTTCGATAACGAATAACATTCAATAATACTTACACTCTTCTTCGGCCTTAGCAGCACAACAAGCTCTCCCCACAGCCTTAAAGAACTGCCAGAAATGCTGCACTAACACAAGGGGTATTACCAAAACAGGTTTCTTCTCATATTCACGAATCAGGCGGTACATCTCGAACTTCCAGATCTCCATGCTGTTCTCATGGACCTCGTCGAATACATGCCTTGGGATTATATGGAAAGGGTGTACATAGAGCGGAATGCTATGGCTGAGTTATGTAGGCATGTACTATGTTGGATGTAGATTTCCATGCAGATTTCTTCAGCATGAAATTAACATGTTCCTAGTATGTGGATGAAATATGTGTGGCGGTACTGTAGTTATGTTCTTGTATAAATGTACACACTGTGGAATAGTTGTTTTTAAAGCCCGTGGTAAGATCTGTATGCCCATGCCGTTTCCATGGTCTGAGAGAGGTGTGCTATGCGAGGGAGTTTCATCATGATGCGGAGACAGACGAGATAAGGATAAGAGAAAATACAGGTGATTCGAAATGAAGGAAGCAAGAACAAGCTTTCCAAAATCATGGAGCATTGAAATTTTCCAAATGTAAGTCATATAATGGACGTCTTGATCTCTACATCATCGAAAATTAACCGATGTAAATATTACATGCATACCTAACAATACGAAATTATTTATCCTTATTCATCCTTTTCTCTCGTTTGTCAAACCAAAACTCCAGCACATCCATTTGGCGCTACGAAGCCACTCACGTGAAAATAGCGATGAGTAAGTTGAGTAACATGATGTTCCCGATGATGAGGTAGACGAAGAGCATTAGCTTGACAGTCCACTTGTAATCGGCGGGGTTCTCGCACACACAGTCTCGCAAGCAGTCCTGAGTCTGGTTCAAGCACGAGTCCGCGACCCGACAAGATTTCTCGTGACATGTCTCATGGTCGTACTGCAAATGCATAAAGTAGGGCTTGGCTGATAAGAAAGCATCCATATTTCTCTCTCTCCATCTGTATCTGCAGCTAAATGCGCTTCTCAATCACGCTTTTATACCTGATTATTTCCATCTACGCTTAGCCTCTTGCTCCAACATTTGATCATAATCAATATATTTCCATAGGTCGTTCGGTCTCCAGTCATCGTGTTCCGCTTACTTTACACTTACTGATTTTACACATTTCTACATGCATCTGTTAATCTCAACACGCCCATCACTCTATCACCAAATCCTTATATCTATCCATCTTTGCACACACCTACCTACCTGTCGATCACACGCGACAGACGGCAAAACTCACCTACGATTTGGTCCAGCAGAAGCTCTCCGTACATCTGCCAATAGGGCGTGAGGATGACGCTTTCGACGATGTTTCCCACTTCGGTGACGTTGAAGGTGAAGGAGTAGTGGGACGGGTGCAGGAGGGACTGGGACGCGATGCCGTAGCCCAGGATGAAGATCACCAGCAGCGCCATGAACACCAGGACTTCGGTGATCTGGAGGAAGGGGGAAAGAGAGGGGAATGGGTGTATGTTTGTTTACTTTTAAGTACGCGTACGTTTGTATGAACATTTCTCTCTTCTCTCTCTCTCTCTCTCTCTCTCTCTCCTCTCTCTCTCTTCTCTCTCTCTCTCTCAAACCTGTCAGTGTTAATCCTATTTCTGTGAGAAAAAATATTTCATTTTACAGATTTTCGCTTTACCGGACCAACGTCTAACCTATCCAACCGAGAACTAAGCATCCGTAATAAGAACTAACACGCAGTCGCGGAACTAACCATCCTGTAGAAGATGACAAGCTTGGGTCCCAGGTGGTAGTTGACGTGGTACATCCTGAAGAGGCGGCAGTAGAAGAAGGCCGTGTTGATAGCATAGAATGTGCGGCCCCACTTGAACGTGCTGCGGATGAGCCGAAGAGCCAGGGCGCTGAAGGCCAGGACGACCGCCATCAGGTCGAAGCGACTCCACACGCTAGACGACCAGTCCTTCAGCTTGTCCCAGGGCTTCGAGGACTGCTCCATGCAGATCTGGGAAGGGCGTGGTGCGGGATCCTTTTATAGGAGGCCTCGAAGGGGTTTATGGCGATTCAGGTCTTACGTGTTGACTTTTTTTTTCGAAAATGTGACATGGTTATTTGATAGATTTAACTTGATCCGATGGTTTTACAGACTGTCCATTTTTTCTTCTTTATTTTTACATACTGCTCATTTTGAAATCTGCTGTCTCCGAGAACATATTATCAGCTTTCAAATTTTAGAAATGCTTACTCCTTCAGTATATTCTCCACTTTTAAGAAATATATATTTGAAAGTGATCCATAATTGCTTACTTCTTAGTTCCCTAACCCCAGTACGAGACCTAAAGAATAAATATATAAACTTATAAAAGACAGGAATGATTAAATGAATAAACATCCAAAGAATTATATAACAGTTGGACAAATTACCAAATACAGACGCCTACCCTAAGTAAACAAACCAAATAAAGAACAAAAATCACGGAAGGAACAGCCGCCATACCTCAGAAACCTTCTCCACGGCGACTGCGCTGATCCAAACAATAACGAGCATTTCGGTCGCGGACATCTCGTACTTGAAGTCGAACATGACCACGTACGAGTAGAGGAGGAGGAAGGCGACGTAGGAGGTGGTGTGGGCGTAGAACTTGGAGATGGGCGACTTGTAGAACACGATCAGCTTCTGCCGTGCGGTCAGGTCACTCCCTTGTCGCCGAGCTTTTGAAATCTGGTGTTGGAAGTTTATCATTTTATTATCGTTGCATTATTGTTGCTGCTGCTGCTGCTGCTATTATTATTATTATTATATATTATTATTATTACCATTATCATTATTACTATTATCATTATTATTATTATTATTATTATTATTATTATTATTATTATTATTATTATCATCATCATTATGATTACCACTATCATTACTATTATCATTCTTTTTATTATTATTATCATTTTCATCATCATCATTATCATGATCATCATTATCACTATTAATTTGATTAGCTTTATTATCCTTATTTGTACTGTTATTATCATTACCATTGTTATTATCTTCATAGTCATTACCAATAACAAAATTATTATCATCATAATAATTATTATTACGTAAAGGCATGCATTACTAAATGAAAGTTAAATTCAATGTAAATGATTAATGCATGGGCATTTCTCGTGTAGAAGTGACAGATGATACTAATATAAACGGAATTTCAGCACTGAATGTACTTTACAATTATTGCTACCAAGAGACCATCATAGGAGATCATCATAATGATTAATCACAAATAAGGCAGAAATAATCATTCCATAAAAGTTCGTCTTTTATTATCAGTGATCGTTCTAAAGTGCACCTAATCAAACCCGAAAACCGTGATCGCATCATAAAACTATTCTAGGTTCACTCTTCTCTGACCCGGAAATATTGAGGTCTTCCGTTTAGACTTAAGACTTAACTTCTATTTATCGCCTTCTATCATAAGCGTGAATCAAACCAAGCACTCACTGGAAGAGTTTCGGCCAAAATATAAGTAGGGGAAAGACGTTCGCGATAATAACAGCAAAATAGGGTGCCTTCGCCATGCCTCTCCGCCAGTTGAGCTCGATGGTCGCCTGGGAGCACGGGGCCGCAATGAAGAAGAGGTCGTTGGCGAAGTAGGCCAACTCGAGGCAGGTCAGTTGGCCCCACCTGGCGTTCCTCCGCTCGATGAGGCCCACGGCATTGGTCGGGTCTGTTTGGTAACACACGTTCAACAGCTGGCGGGAAAGACATTGTGGCGGTGAAGGGGTAGCTGGGTAAGAAGAAAGCTTTTGGTATTCTTCAAGAAATACTTCGAGGGATTAGAAGCTAGAAGTTGGTTTAGATCAGGAAATTTTGCCGAGAATTCGATGACTGGTGCCGGAAATATTAAGAATTTCATTATCACTTCAAGTTCTGACGTCAGTGTCAAATTCACAAATAAACCGTCTCAAGAATCATCTACACTTGAAAAAGTCTTCGAAAGAAGCGAAGTCTCTCTCACCTCTTTTGCAAGGTTCTGAAACACCTTCTTCTGCAGCTGGTATTCTTGGCGTATGTCCGTGTTCTTCTCCCCAAGAGACTCCCACAGGGCTTGGTACATGCAGGAGGCCACCACGGCAGCACACAGCGGCGAGTTGCAGCGCTCCCACAGGAACTTGGCCAAGTTGCCTCGCCTGCTGAGGACGGCCCACAGCATCAGCTCCAGATAAGGGTCCTGTGGCAGATGTGAGGATATATTACGGATTCGAAAAATGTTGAGAGACGTGTACACACGGAAAAATAATATTAACAAATATCAAAACGTTACAAATATTTTGCTCTAATTCACATACTAACGGATAAGAACTAAAATCTAGATTAAAGGAAAAATATCTACAAGTAAGCCAAACAAACGAAGAAGAAAAAGACGCAGAAGGAGAAGAAAATGAAGTAGAAAAAGACGAAGAAGAAAGAAGCAGCAAAAGAAAAAAAAACAGAAGAAACGAAAAAAATAAGGAAGAGACAATTCCCGGAAGCACAAAACCTCAAAAGTCATGGCGCTGATGTTCGGGTTATTTTCAATGTTCTCGGGAGTGTCCATCAAGTAGTTCTTATTATAGTGCTTCTTCACCATCGCTTGCAGGAGATTGTGGACGTGGATGAGGGCGTGATACCCGCTGTTCGAGGACCTCTGCAGCAGGCGAGGGAGGTGGATGTTGCGATCGCACTGCAAAGGGGAATAGGATTTCGAGTATTGCAACGTTTGTCTAGGATTTGTGTGTGCCGTCCTAAAGCATTCGAGGGTTCGGATCAGGGGAGTTCCTCTGTGTAAAAGGCGTATGAATGAAAATCATAATGATTTGCAATTCAAATGATATTTCCAGTTAAAAATACTAGATCAGTGGTCGCCAACCTTTTTCATTCTGTGGCACTCGACTAGTGTATCATAGTTTCTAGTCATCTTTCCAGATTTAATTATTACTGATTATGAATAATGTAATGGTGTCAGTAGCTATAGGACCAAACACTTTATGGAAAGCTTCCACTTTTTTATATGTGAGAGATAATTATATGTTGCTATTGCAGGTGAGATAAAATTCATTTTAATTCGTCATAATTTTCATTTTGCTTCATAACCCCCTAGAGAGTACCCCATGGAACTCTCGAGCTAAATAACCCAAGCAGATTTCTCGCCACTCCTAAAATCCAATGGCGGAGGGATACACAACATAAAAACTTCAAAATACAACAAAATTGTTACAGAGGGAGCTAGGTGCGATGAAAGAACAATTTTAAAGTCTACTGGAATTTTATCACCAACACTCCTTAATGATTTTGAGCATGTAGGCTTACCTTCTAGAGAAATTGTGTTTTGCTAATGTCCTTTTCTTCATTTATCTTTATTCACCTACTTATCTACTTATTATCTTTTTTATTGTTATTATCATTTTCGTCACTACCAATATTATCACCACTTTATTACCATCATTCCTATTGTTTATCATTACTACATGTGCTTGTATTCACAGCTAAAACCTCTTCGAGCGAGACTCACCGCTTTGTTGTAGAGGGACCTTAGCGTGTCCACGGTGAGGTAGTCTTCCATGACCAGACCGTTCATCACGAACAGCTTCACGAACTCCACCTTCTCGTCCAACAGCGCCGTCGTCATGAGCTCTCTGAGGACGTCGAGACTCCAGTTCTTTTCAGCTGCAGGGTGGGTAAAAGAGAGGGGAATCAGCAGGAGGGAGAGGAGGAGGAGGAAAAGGGGGAGGAAGTGGTGGGAGTGGATATTGAGAGAGATGAATCAGCAGGAGGGGGAGGAGGAGGGTGAAGGGGAAGAGTTGGTGGAGGTGGATATTAAGAGAAGTGGTCAGAAGGAGGGGGAGGAGGAGTTGGAAGAGGAGGAGGTGGAGTTGAAGGGGTTGGAGGAAGAGAAGGAAGAAGAGGAGGATGGGTTATTACAAAGAAAAGTTGCAGTAGCATAAAGAAATACTTCTAAGCTACTACTACTACAGCCATTATGACTATTATAACTACTATTACTACTATCACGACTACTACCAGTTCTACCACTACTACTACTATTCATACTATTACTATTATCATTACTACAATTACTGTTGCTATCACTACTGCTTTTACTACTAGTGTTACTTTAACTGTTATCAATACCACCGTTCTATAGTACTAATAATAACAAGAATTATTCACTGGTGCAAAAACTGCATCTTCGTCAGTAACAAAAAAGGCCTCCGCATCACATTTTACCTCATAGCCTCTGAACTGAGAAAACGTGGCCCTCCATGACCTATGACCTACCCAGAGAAATTGACCACCTTAGACTTTTGACCTACCTGGGGAAAATTAACCTTCCATGGATGTCTTTTGTTTGCCTACGAAGCAAAATTTACCCCCTACCCGCCCGACCTTTGACCATCCTTGGTAAACATTCGTTATCTATGGCCTTTGACCCAGCTAAGAAAATTCAGGTCAGCATGGCCTTTTACTTACCTGGGAAAATTAGGGTTTCGGCTATGTCTGGTCGGTTCCACAGGAGAGCGAGGCCGAGCTGGTCCTGTCGTGAGGACTGAGACCTTTCGTTGCCTGAGAGAGGGAACGTGGGTTAGAAAATGGCCCGGGGGGGAGGGGGGGAGGGGGAAGGGGGTTGCGGGGGGCGTAAAAATGTTTGGGGGGCCAGTTAAGATTGGTGAGGAATTATCTGATAATAACGCGCTTAAGCTAGGGCGAAGCTATCTTTCAGCTATGTTGGATCGAATATGCCCTAGAGTAGGGGTGACCAACCTTTTGCGGGATATCTACTTTTTCTACTCTTACCCTGATGCGATCAACCAGCCTAAGATTCAAACATATTTCATAAATGAAACTGTAACTGTAAAATCATTATAAATATAAATATAACTTATTCCCAGGGAATAAAAGAGAAATATAATAATCTTAGTATCGTGAGTACTATGCTATTTCAGCTATTTGCATGACAACTTCTGAAGGACGAGTTATTAACAGGAACAGCAGTGTGATCGACTTTAAACGGGCTTTTGATCGACTGGCTGGCCATCCCTGCCTAGAGTATAAATGAATGCGCAGTGTTTTTGTACATGAGGCGTCGACATCAGCTTCCAGTAACAACGATAATAATAATAATAACAATAATAATAATGATATTATTACTAATAATGATAATAATAACAATGATTACAATAATAAAGATGATCATAAAATGGGTTGTAGTGTTTAATGATAATAATGATCGTAATAATCATAATGCTGATTATAATGAGAGCAATAATAATAATGGTAATAATAGCAATATCAATAATAACAATAATAATAATATGATAGCAACAAAAATAACTTCGAAGTAAACAAAAAAAGAAATGAAAGAATTGTCACACTTTTCCCCTTGTCAAATAATTACATTCATATCACTCCCTTCACATCACCAACTGGAATACTTACATGTCAACAAAGCACGTAAAATGAATTTATCTAATCCTTCGTGGGAATTGATGTCGAAAATGGTGATCATTTGTTTCTTCTCGCAACACTCTCGCAATCTCTCGAGGCATTCCTGGAGAGACAACATGCGACAATTGTTAGCTTGTAATTTTATTCTTAAATCAAAATGGTTTGGTTGATGTGCAGGAAATGAAACAAATATATAGATCATAGATTTTGCTGTTCGTTGGAATGGTTGATGTAAAGTAAATATAGACAACTATTCATCTTAGAATTTACTGTTAACCTGAATGCGTAAATAATACCTGAACGAACATAAACATTGCCTGCATTTTCCAATTAATGATTTTCCATAAGGTAATTATAATCATATCCTCTTTACATACTGTATTAATGTATAGAAAATGTAGGAAAAAAGAAGTTGGTTAATAATAAATACAAGAAAACAGTTTAATAATGCATTACTTCTAGGTAGAATAAACAGATAAAGATTAACACCGGTTTGTTGAAATTGTGCGTGGCCCGTCCTAGTAAATATCCATCCGTATTGACAAATTTGCATACGCCCAGAAATAAATACATATCTATCAGTTTAGACATGCATACCTACCGGCTAGAAGATAGATAAATGTGCATCAAATAGATAGACAGATATGCATTTACTTCTGTGATATGGATGACCGTTTGGATGAATATTCATTAGGTCGGGTCTTGCATAATTCTGACGGTTGAAAGGGCCGATTTGTTGAAATTGTGCAAGGCCCGACTCAATGAATATTCATTATCCGGACATGCATATACACAGAAACAAATGCATATCTATCCGTTTAGACATGCATTACCGTATAGATAGATAAATGTAAATATATCTGATAGGCAGATATACATTTACTTCTGTGAATATGCATGTCTATACGAATATTCATTGGGTCGGGCCCTGTACAATTTAAAAAAACCGGCCGTCACTCAACAGTACGAAAAAACATGATTATAGCGACTATATAACATTGTTCATGAAAATATTACGTCATAAAAGAAAAAAATATGCTTTTATATGATACTGTTAATTTAAATCGTATCAAGAAAATAAAAGAATTGTGACATGATAT